AAGACATATGTTTAGATTCCTCCAACTACTCTTTTCAGTCACTTTTTGGTCCTTTCCTTACACACAAAACTCTTTTCCATTGTTAGATTTGTTTGCTCTGGTTTTGATTTGACTTACTGCCAAAAATGTACGATCTTTCCTGTTGCCGTGTTTAGATAATAAATAACTAGAACCTGTTTTTCCACTAAATGTTTCAACACTGAATGTTGTCGATAATTTTTGCCTTCTTTGCAAAACCTCTCACAATGCTGCTCTTAAAGGAGATGGGACTGCTGAGTTTGACCTCGATTTCAGTTAGGTGAAGTTTTGTTTATACAACAGCCTTGATGTTACAATTAAGATTTGTAACCATGATTGTTGCAGGATAGTTGTCAACTCAAGGGCTAGGTCTAGACATTCACTAGTCTCCAGATTCCCTCATGCAAGCTCACTCAAATAACCTAGTGCTTTTCAACTTCCTTCTTCCTTTTTTTAAAAAAGATTTTATTGGGATCCCTGGGTGGCGCAGCGTTTGGCGCCTGCCTTTGGCCCGGGGCGCGATCCTGGAGACCCGGGATCGAATCCCACGTCGGGCTCCCGGTGGATGGAGCCTGCTTCTCCCTCTGCCTGTGTCTCTGCCTCTCTCTCTCTCTCTCTCTCTGTGACTATCATAAATAAATAAAGAAAAAAATATTTAAAAATAAAAAAAAAGATTTTATTTATTTATTCATGACAGACACAGAAGGACATAGACATAGGCAGAGGGAGAAGCAGGATCCCCGTGGGGAGCCTGATGCGGGACTCGATCCCAGGACTCCAGGATCACGACGTGAGCAGAAGGCAAATACTCAACCATTGAGCCACTCAGGTGCCCCTCAACTTCCTTCTTCCAATTGTAACTTCCATACACTAACTTGTCTCTTCTGAGACTGAAAAGCATGAACCAGATGTGTAGAGAGAAGACATGGAGGCAGTACAATGCAGCAAAGATAGCCTTTTCAGCAATGGAGGCAAAGAGAAAAGACATGGAACAGATGACTTTCTAAAGTCTCTGCCAGACCAACTAGTACATATACAATATTTACTTATGTTGCCTCGGGTTTAGCTAGCATGGTTTGCAGATTACTCCCATGGTTACATAAACACTGTATGTGTTAATTTATAAATTTTGACACTAGCCAATGACAGGTGGTTTGTGTGCAAAGACCATGGTATTTAAACAGAGGGGAAGTAAGGACAGAAGGAGCTAATGAACATTGAAAAGGTGGTAAAGTTAATAAACTCATGGCAAAAATTAACTACTGAGGCACTTGTAAAAATGTTTCATCTGAATTCCTGAGCATCCATTTGCTTTATCAAGGTTAAAAGTATCAAGAAATGGGGGAATGGTGGATTGGATATGAGGACTCTGAGAAACCTCTAAGTAACTACTCTTTCAACATTAGTAGAGAAGACAAGTAGACCACTAGACTGGAACCAAATTCCACAAGGAGGCAGACAGAGAGCACTGAAAGATCTAAACAAAAAGAAGTGCCAGATGTGAAAAATCAACAAGCTATAAACAATCTGAATAGAATAAAAAGGGAAATGGGAGTTAAAAGCGTGAGAACGGTAATTCAAAGTATTGAGAGTAAACGTTAAACATGCCAAATAAACCACATGTCATCATGACCGAAACGCTTTATTGTATACGGTCTGAAACACCAGTTCTGAGAATTGCTTCATAAGAGTTATATAGGAAGCAAACAATAAGAAAAAAATAGCAAAAGCAAGAACACAAAGATCAGAGCATGTATATGAGATTACAGCTTAGCAATGGCAGTTATATTGGTGGGGCCAGTTTAACTCATTGATGTGATAGATGGTTTAAAATTGAGAACATTTGCATACTGAATAAACTTCTTAATCCATTTGATACAAAAATGTGCTATTAATTCGAAGGAAGGCATTTCTTATATATTGCCATTTTATTTGGAAAGAGTGTGGGGGGGGGGGCCCGGGGTGGGGAGGGACAGGGTGGGAGGAGAGAAAACCTTAAACAGGCTTTACATTGAGTTTGGAGCCAATGCAGGGCTCGATATCACAACCCTGAGATCATGACCTGAGCTGAATCAAGAGTCAGGTCAAGAGTCCGTTGCTTAGCTGACTGAACCACCCAGGTGCTCCATATTGTCTTTTTTAAAAATATATTGATCATTAATTCATCACCAGGACAGATTTTTGATAAATTGTGCTTATTTTGGTTTTTTGTTTTGTTTTGTTTCAAAGATTTTATTTATTTGTTTGACAGAAAGAGAGCACAAACAGGGGGAACAGCAGAGGGAGAGGGAGAAACAGACTCCCAGCTGAACAGGGAGCCCCAACCTGAGGCTCAATCCTAGGACCCTGAGATCATGACCTGACCAGAAGGCAGACCCTTAACCCAGGTGCCCCAAATTGTGCTTATTTTGAACTGTCTTAATTACATGTGGTTTTACACATATTAAATATTTCATATCCAACTTAAAAAAGGGAAAGAGAATATAGACAATTCTTTTAGAGTCAAGAGAGAGTTTTTGCTTTTTTAAGATAATGGGTAATGGTGATGAGGATGATCCATGGAAAGGTAAAAATCAATGTACAGGAGGAAGAAGACACTGGCAGAACTGAAATCCTTGAGGAAGCCTGAGGAGATGGAATCCATGGCATTAGTAAAGAGGTTGCCCTTGATTAGAAGTAGAACCACTAGCCAGGTTACATGGAAGAGTTGCAGGTAGGTTGGTAGATGTGGTGTCGGGAGAAGATCCATCTTTTTTATTGTGTCTGTTTTCTCAATGAAATGATGAGAAAGGACATTAGCCCTCGTAGCGTCAAAAACTTGTCAGGGAAAGAGAACCAGTGGGAGTGGGCCAGAAGGTTAGAGAATGGTAAGCCTGAAATTCTGATTTTGAGGGGGTGAAGTAACAGAATGACAGCTCAAAGGGATGGGCCAGCAGCGAGGGGCTGAGATGGAATTGAAGGAAAGACCTTAGGATGCAAGCAAGTCAAGGAACTGGTAGAGAGGCCTGCAGGTTGCTTGGGCCATTTGCCGGATTCTTGAAATCACCTGACATTGATGTCAGATCTGGAGAGAGGGAAAAGGTATGGAGCAGTGGGCGAGGTTCTAAATTTTTCAGAGAAAAGGAGTGACTGGTAACACCTCACCTGGTAAGGGAGGGTAGTTGGTGGTCAAGTCTGATGCTATGTGCATTTAAAATTAACATTTTCATAATTATGTAAATAAAAATTTTATTAATGACCATTAATGCCTGCCAGAATAGAGGTTACATCAAACAGAGCCAGTTTATATTAAATGAAAAAAAATAAAAAATATTTTTAGAGATTTAGCAATGAAACCAGAGAGCAACTTAGTATCATGACCATTAAAGTTATTCATAATCTTACAGGATGAATAAGAAATTTTCAGATTCAGAAAGTGGCCAGTTACATTTCAACTTGAGAACTGTGAGAGGATTGAATGATAATACCAATTCCTATTATTTGGAATAGGACCTGACAAATAATAAGTACCTACTGAAAGTCATGAGGGAGTCAAACTAAAAGTGACCACCTATGAAGGAAAAATTCTAAGTCTGCTTCACCGCTTTTTCTACATTGTCTTAAACCAAAACCAAAACCAAACTCAACTTTTATATCTTTTTTAAAAATATTTTATTTATTTATTCATGAGAGACACAGAGAGAGAGGCAGAGACGTAGGCAGAGGGAGAAGCAGGCTCCTTGTGGGGAGCCTGATGAGGGACTCCGTCTTTGGACTGCCAAAGGCAGATGCCCAACCACTGAACCACCCAGGTGCCCCCCAACTTTTATATCTAAGGTCACCTTGATCTACCCTGGCTATCCCTAATTTGTAGGCCAGATGTTTTTTCCTAGTATTTCTTAGAGGAGTCTTGTGTCAAGAATAAACTCCGCTTTTGGGTAAGTACTGGGGGAGAGATGTGATCACTGAAGTTGTGAAAACTGGCTGACAATATTTTTATAATCATGGGGTATGTATTAAGATGCCAAACCCAGAATCTATAAGGTTAAATATATTTGATCACTTAACCATGGCAAAATGTATTTGAAATAGAAACATCACTCCTCTATGCCCAGGCTCCAACCCTTGTCACCACTTTGGTTTTCTCTGCTATACTTAACACCATCTGATGTATTTTAATTTATATGTGTTTATTTATTTATTATTTATTGTCTCATGCTTCCTTTATCCCACCACAAAGTATCCCATAAGGGCAGGATTTTGTTTTGTACTGAACTATAACCCCAGTGCTGGGAACAGGGTCGATTACCTATTAGGCACTTAATACATGTGTTAAGTGGATGAAAATAACCAGATATGTATGTGGGTTTACGTGTGTGCATATGTATGATTCAAATGTCTTTTTGTCTGTACTTTAATTCTTTGCAAGAATTTCTCTGAAAAGGCCTTGATTAAAAAGGAGGAGAATAATTAACTTATGAACACTTCAAGTGTTACCTTACATTCAGGTTAATTTCTCTGTTGAATTTTACTTGGCTAAATAATCCTGTTTTGTTGAGCTCTCAATGTAGGGGGGAAGCACATTTTTTTTTTTCAAGGGATGATTTTTTTCTTCCAAATCCTTGATCACCTCTGAATCAAATTAAGTGCTTTGTTCATAAACTGCTGAAAACCTGTTGCTTATGTTTTATCAGTTCCAGAAGAATCCAAGAAAGAACACATAAAAATTTCAAAGTGGCAGAAACTGAGCTTCCTTTTCCCCATATTTTAGGATACAGTTTTCTTGGCCAAATGGGGAGAATCTGGGTGTCCCTCTGCTGACATAGGAAGTATGAATCTGATGCTACCTTCCACCACCCCAAACCCAGGACTCAGTGAACGGGGCCCATCCTTCCACCCTCACTGCAGCAGATACTACCACTTGGGTGATTTCATTTCGTGGTGCTGGTGGTCTTATTTAGGATATGATTGGGAGATGGGGTGACCCTCCAGATTGCATTTACCTGTTTATTTCTCAGGGGCTGAACCACTTCCCTAATGCACAGCTCGAGATCATTGAGGTAGTCTTTTTCCGTCTGTATCAGTTCCTTGATGATTTTCAAACGCTTTGCCATCATTCTCTGCATCCGATGCTCCTCCTGAGTTAGGGTCTCAGTGGCAGAAGCCCCGGCCTGTGGAGTCATCTTTTCTGTTAAATAAAAACATGTATGTATACGTGAGACATTCTGCTGCAGTTTCTTGTTCCATCATTACAAATGATCCGCTGTGGGACTGCTGTTAGCAGGGAGAAAGGCATAGTGCCTTCAGAGTATGTTCTTAGGAAGAAATGTGTGGTAGTTTGCCCTAAGGTTGGAATCCCATGAAACTATGAGCAACAAGGGACATGAGAATAGATCCTTCTAACAAGTTGGCTGAATGACACGTGACTGTCATGGCTTGTCTTTAAAATATCCCATTGCTACTATATTAAGTTATAAACCTGGTCTTCAGGCTAGAGATAAAATGTATAAAAATCAGTTCAGAACCTCTTCTAGGCACATTTGCTTTTAAATCAAGGGATGATTTTTAACTAGTAAATGGGACATTTTCCCATTTTGTCCCTATTGTTAGAAAGAATTCCCCCTCATTCTCAGTGAGTAATATGCAAACCTCAGTGAAATGGAAAGCAATTCATGTGAGTGAAATTTTTCTTTCAGTTCACAATCCAAACCCATGAGGAGTGTGGAAGTGGTGGAATGGGATACATGTCAACTAGGATTTCTGATGGTGCATCTTCACTATCGTGCGTATCTCGTTATTTCAAAATTCTTGAACTGCCAAATGGAAAATTTCAATTAAAGAAACCCCAGTGCCAAGGAGACACTGAGATAAATGGGAAGCTTCACATACAGCCAAGATTTTATATAAAGTATAATGTGAGAAAGCTAAATGTCTTCAAAAATGAGCTTCCCACAGCAATGTAGAATTTTGGAAGTCACAAACTAGGTCACAGATGAAATCAGAGCAGTGATAGATAGTAGGGCAGTGTGCATGTGTGTGTAAATGAATTTTCTTCAAGCTTGAAGTCATCACAAACTCCATGTTCATCCTAGTGTCTGCCGTCAAAGAAGTAATTTTATTGCCTTTAAAGTTAATATGATTCTAGTAACTGATATGTGAGACACCTTCAGTGCTGACACCACCTCCAAAAAATGTAGAGCTTTACAAAAGGGCTTGTAAAGAGTCTGTAGGGGAAATGGTATACAGGTCACAGTGTATGGAAATGGAAATAAAAAGAGGATATTCTCTTGGCCAATTCCAGAAACAAGGCCAGGACAACTGGAGAATCATTATAGTAGAGGGTTCAACGTAATGGCTCAACGTTAAAGAGATTGCTCCTAGAGTGTGAAGAGACACTTCAGAAGTAATGAGCACTCCTCACTACCTGGCCTGTTCATTCCAGGATTTCAGGCAGAGGCTCAATAATCACACATCTGTGGAGGATGCTGTGAAGGTATTTCCAGTGTTTGTTTGGAAGGTGCCCTAGACTGGTCTTTAAGCAATCCTGACTTGCAGGTGAATATGCTTCCAGACCATTTGCCCAGTAACTATTCTTCCCTCATCAGAAAACAAGATGGACTTAACAAATGGCATCTGAGCACACAGTTTTACAAGGCTGGGGACATTTGGTGCCAAAGAAGTCATCTCCATAAGTTCTATTAAGAAGAGAAAGTCTGTACAAGGAGAGAGAAGGAATGCATGAGGTGGTCTTCAGCTTTCATATCTTGAATGATGTTATGAGAATTTTTGGATGCTTGCTAATATTTTATTGGAAAGTAGAAGGAGCCTGCCTCTTAGCACCCCACATTTGAAAGGAAAAGTTACAGTGAGGCATCATTACTATGAATTATTTTGTTTATAAAAGAGGAAGGCAGGTCACTGATGGGGACAGATGCAGTGAGCAGATTGTATACACAACTTGACCTTTGTGAGCCTCCTTGAGAGGGCAGAGGGGGGTGTGGTGGGGCTTCTTTTCTCCTGGGTTATATGAATAAACTCATAGAAAGAAACTTCCCTAGTAGAGAGCTGACAAACCGATTCGGATAGTATTCAGTTCTTACCCAATTCCTTGAAAATAAAAGGAACCCTGTTGAAAGACTGTTCTGATAATCTGCTCTTCTAAGTTCCAAACTTTTTGTGCATAATATAAATCATCTATCAACTATTTGGGGGTGAGCAAGGAGAAAGGAGTCTTTCCCAAGCATGGGCAAAGAAATATCCCTAAAATACATTCTCAGGTTCCCTTTAGTTCTGAATTCCAGGACTCAATTACTATGTCAATTCAACTTATTTCACAGCTATTCCAGCTGCTGCATTTTGAATGTCCAACATCAGACTTATTAATTAAAAACTGCCTAGATACTCTATGACAGCTCTACAACATGTTCAGAACCAAGTTAGGGGGTCATGGTGGTTGAAATAAAATATCGGTCAAGATATTCATCTTCAGAAACTTCTCCCTTCAGGTATAAAACCTTCTCAGAGAATTTGAAGTTGAGCAACCTCATGAGATACCTTTGTTTGCTCTTTTGACTCAAGTTTACTGCAGGAACAAAGAAAGGCCTGGCTTGCATCATTTCATGGTCCGATCTCTATTTGCCTTTCTGAAACCAACAAACTACACAATGCACTGTGGACACAAGTTTTATTTTTATAAGATCATTCCCCACCTTTAAAACTTGCATCTTTTAGTTATACTATGTTTTTACATATAAAACTATTTGTAATACATGACTATTACCAGCATAGATCACCCAAAGAGCAGTCAGCTATAATAACCTTTTCTTTCTCAATACAGCAACAGAGGAGTTAAGCATTTACAAAAGAAGGAAAAACAGACCTTTAGAAATGAATATTTTCTAGCAGTTAGCATAAACTACAAAACTTATGTCAGAATTAAAGTGAGACAGGTCAAAAGGCTATGTAGATTTTTTTTTTTTAAAGATTTATCCATTTATTCATTCAGAGAGAGCGAGAGAGAGGCAGAGACACAGGCAGAGGAAGAAGCAGGCTCCAAGCAGGAAGCCCGATGTGGGACTCAATCCTGGGTCCCCAGGATGGCACCCTGGGCTGCAGGCGGTGCCAAACCACTGCGCCACCGGGGCTGCCCTATGTAGATGGTTTTAATCAAAATATGCCTCTGTGGGGGCGCCTGGGTGGCTCAGTTAAGCATCTGCCTTCAGTTCAGGTCCTGATCCCAGGGTCCTGGGATGGAACCCCAAGTCAAGCTCCTTGCTCAGTGGGAAGTCTGCTTCTCCCTCCCCCTCTGCCCTCCCAATCTTGCTCACTCTCTCTTTCTCTCTGTCAAATAAAATCTAAAAAAAAAAAAAAAAAATGCCACCGTGTTTGCAAACATTTGCATGTAAATGGCATGCCTTTCCTACCCTCTATTTCTTTCACCTTCAAGCTTCAGTTTTCCAGCAGTGATCATCAATTTTCATTATTCTAGCAACAGATTTCATTGGGAACTTATGTGGAAATTCCTGGCCAAGGAAGTTTATATAAAAGGAGGTGGCTGCAGTTTGGGGGAAGAATAATCAGACTTAGTATCAGCTCTGCCAATCTTAGCAGTAAGAACATGGTGGACAAGTTAGTTATCCCTATGGAGACTCAGTTTCCTCATCTGTAAAATAGGAATGAAAATCATTATAGCGTCATCAAGAAGACTGAATCAAATGAGCCATGTAGAAGATCCTTGGGATCTTCGAAACAACCTAAGTATTTGTTATGTCTATAGACATTGGAATGCTAGGCTTCATTTCTCTGTACTCTCAAACTGTTCCACTACCTCAGGCAAACAATTATCCCATTTTAAAGTCATCAACTTGTCAAGAAAACCGCATGATTCTGAAGTATGGGGACAGCCATGTTCAGATGAGAAAGGAAAAAGAGATAAAATAGGGGTGCTCCTGTCCAGGCAAAGTAAGACACAGGCTGGGGTTTGGCATCCTGAGTAACTTCCCTGTGTTGGATGTATGTATGGAGAAAACCTTGGTTTTTAGGAAGATGAAAAGGCACCCAAAGGTAAGAATATAGTTGGGGAGGTCTGAAGACAATCTGCAGTGACAGCCCAGGTTTCGCTTAGAGTTCATGTACGCTCCTTCTGCTTTGTTGCCATCCCTATTGTTACTACTGCTTTGGGGTGGATTTTATTTTTTTTTTTTTTTGTAAAGAGGGGGAGGATAGAGGGGGGGAGGGAGAGGGGGAGTTTTATTTGAGACTTTATTTGAGAGAGGGAGGGAGTACCTGCAGTGAGGAGGGGCAGAGGGAGAAGAAGACTCCTCAATGAACAGCCCAGTGTGGGGCTGGATCCCAGGACCCTGAGATCATGACCTGAGCTGAAGGCAGATGCTTAACTGACTGCATCACCCAGGCACCCCATTGGGGTGGATTTTAAAGAGAGATAATTGATTTATTTTTTTTTCCCTGTATGATAAAACTATACATATTATAGGGATTAAGTTCCCAGACTGTGCACTAGACTTTCAGGGTTTTTTTTAAAAAAGATTTTATTTATTTGTTCATGAGACACACACAGAGAGAGGCAAAGACATAGGCAGAGGGACAAGCAGGCTCTCTGCAGGACTAATGCGGAACTTGATCCCAGGACCCAGGGATCACGACCTAAGCTAAACGCAGATGCTCCACCACTGAGGCACCCAGGTGACCCTAGACTTTCAGGGTTTCAAATGCACCTCTAACATTATCAGATCTGTGGCCTTAGACAAGTTATTTAACTCTTTCTGTGTCCTGCCTTATCTGTAAATTAAGGGTAACATTAATAAAATCTTATAAAGTGATTATGAAGATAAAATGAGTTAATGTTTGCTAAATACAGTGGTGCTTGGCAATATCTAATATAGTTGATATTGTGTATATGTTGGTTAATTATTAGATGTAACTTTTATTACCTATAATATAATTTTCACCGTATTATTAGTTGTATTTCTGTTTAGGGGATAATTCTCCTCAAATATTTCCATGTATGTACAAACATACATAGTTAGTTTTTTTTTTTTTGGTTTTTGTTTTGTAATAATGGACTCGTGCATATTCTTCTGAAATTGCTTTTTCAACTTTAACAGTATTCAGTGGCTATCTTTTCTTCAGTGTATATATATATATATATATCTTTATTCTTTATAATAG